GCAGTTTAAAATAATAAATATTTCTTATCTCAATAGTTTCTGTGAGTCAGGAATTTAGAAACAACTTAGCTGGGCGATCCTGGACCCAGGTTTTTCATGAAGGTACAATCACAATGTTAGTTGAGGTTGTAGTTAATTTAAGGATTGACTAAGATGTTGCAGCTGTCTTCAAGATGGCTCATTTACACGGCTGTGAAAGCTTAGGTTTCCTCACTGATGGGTGACAGAAAGGCACGTTACACATCACGCGGACATTCCACAGGGTATCTGAGTGTTTGCATGACATCATAGATGGCTTCCCTGAAGGTTAATGATAGAAGAGAGTGAAGAGAAAGCCATCCAATGTCACTGTCATCCTATTTTCTGTCTTGGAAGCAAGTCATTAAGGGTACTTCACACTCAGTAGGTAAGAAACACAGCCCCCTCTTTTAAAAGAGGAGGATATAATAAGTTTGTAATACTTTTAAAACACCCCAGGTGGTGATCAGCTGGAACAAAAATCAATGAGATTAATTTATAGAAATAAAAAGAACTTCATGACAGCAATTTTTTTTTGCATGCCTCAAAGAAATCTTGGTGGGGAGGGAGTAAAATACACTATGAAATATAAAAGGACTCTAAAAAGTTCATGGGAACATTCTGTCATTTTTATAGTCCATTTTTCCACGAACTTTTTGAAGTCTAATTATGTATGAATATATATATTTTATGCCATATAGCTATATATACATGTGTGTATCTATGTATATAGATATAGCTATATGCATAAAGAGATACAGTTTAGAGAGTATAAATTAACACCTAAACCAAATGCTTTCAACTGAGGCAATATGATTGTGTAATGGGTATTTCTGAAATTTTGAGTTGACTTTTTGATTAGCATTGTGTTTGAGGGGGGGCACTACTGACATTTAATAGATGGGACAACTAGGGAAGATAGATGTCTTGCAATATTTTGGACATTTATGCACAACCAAGAATTTCCCACTTTCAGCACCACTTTTCTATGTTCCACTTGTGTCAATGAGAAACTCTTTTAAACATTTGCATCTAGAACTTATGTTTTACATATATAAATTTTGCATGGTTTTAATATATGTATATCAAAGTAATTTGAAGGAAAATTGTACTTTAAAATTTTCATAATGTAATGAGATTCATTTAACATTAGAAATATCATACCATTGAATGTATTTATTGTATTTGAATCTCCTATACAATACATATGTATCTCTGCAATTTTACCTGCCCCATTATATTAATTATTTCTACAAGTGCAAGCTTCTGATTCTTCACTGTGTTCTCTGATCATCCTTGAGCTTTGTACATTGATCTGCATACTATTTAATATAGTATAAATTACTGTCCTCTTATTTCTTATTTATATTATAGTTAAGATATTTTCTTGCTTTTTAAAAGAATTTATAGAGGGAGGACTGTGTTATGTTACCTATGAATTTGATTTCAGGATAATAAAATGGGCATAGCAAAATATTTGTTATTAAAATAGGACACGTTGGTTATGGTATATACATGTTGGATACGATGTGTGACATATACTAACCAGCCCATGATGTTATGACCCTAGTAATCACCTTATACGAACAACCTCTGGCATTTGTGAAAAAGTTCTAAAACAGATCTGTCAAGGAGAAATATAATGTGTCACAGGTGTAATGTTAAGCTTCCTAGTAGCCACATTTAAAACAGTAAAGAGAAATAGCTGGAACTACTTTTAATAATATATTTTGTTCAATGTTTTATATTATCATTCCAAACCTATTATAAACATCAACATAATTAGTGAAGGAAGCTATATTCCTTTTTATCTTCATAGTAACTTCAAAAGCTGATGTGTATTATGTACTCACAGCACATCTTAATTTGGACAAATCACCCTTCAAATGCTCAATATATATGGGTAGCTTGTGGCTACTATTCTGGACAGCTCCATGAATAGATAAATTACAAGAAAAGAAAATGTAAGCAGTGTGACCTACTTTATGAATAGTGTAAATGACTGCTGTCACACATCTCTTTTCATCTCCTCCGCCCCACCCCACCCCAAATTCCACCACTGGAGCTATGGAGAAATGTGAACTGGATGGAGATTGTAAATGGAAATAGACTAGCCTGGGCTGAGGCGATTTGGTTGAACTAGCTCTTGCAACTTTTAAGAGACAACGTTCCAGCTCACACACAGACCATCTGCAGCACAACCCCCATGCCAAAACCATGTGGAGGTGTGTAGCGGCATCTCAGGAACACAGCCTGAAGGAAAGCCAAGAAGGAAGAGAATGCTTCCCTTGACACGTCCATCTCCCACCCACCACCCTCTGCTATCTCCCCATGCCTTCGTATCCCTCACAGACCTTTACCCCAGAAGCACAAAGCTCTCCTCTCAAACTGGCAAAAGCTCTAAAATTACCTGTGCCATTTTTGTTGCACATTTTACATGTTCAACATATGGCTCATTCTCATTTAGCTGTTAACTCTTTTTTTTCCAGTGTTACAAGCTCCTCTCAATTGTTCCTTAGCAGGCAGCATTACAACTTTGAGAAGCGTCTATCATCCAGCGGTTAAAAGTATGAGACTTAGATATACACCTAAATTTAAACCTTCTGTATACTATATAAAATTAGTGTATTGAGAAGTGAATTAAAATATAAACTGGAGTTATCTATAAAATTTAAGTGAAAATAATTGTACATTTCTTAAGACTCAAATGAGGCAATGGATGCAATGCACTCGACATACTACTTGACAGTGTAAGTTGTTAATAAATGTAAGTTTTATAAATAGTGTTCAATCAGTTTCTGATTCTTCCAGGCTCTTAGCCACTTATCCAAGCCCTTGTTGTTTTGTTGAAACAAAGTCTTTCTTAGGTCTCATTTATTCTCCAAGTCTCCTTTAAAAACGTGTTTTTGTCTTTTTAGGCATCTCTTGAAAACTTTGACATAAATTTGCAGTAGTATTGACTTCTAGTACAGGGCCCATGGCAATCATTAACAAATTATGTAAATGATCAAGAAAAGAAGGGAGGAAGCGCTTTCAACGGTGCTGCTAAGGCCTCACTCCTCTTCCCACTGGACCATGTGAATCTGTTGGGAACTATGGTGTATCACCTTAGGATGCCCGCTTCTATCAGCTCTACATTGTTCATCAAAAGGTTCTAAGAGCTGTACAGACCATATTTTCACTCATTATTGTACCTTTTATTCATTTTACTCCTTTTTCTTTCTCATTTTCCTTACTTCCTAACTTAAGTTCCCTGACGTCACCTCCCGAATAAACTACCTGCATCAAGGTCTTTGTCTTACTGTTGCTTCCTGAAAACTAAACTACGACATGACACCGAAATGACTAAGTCCAGGTGGTAAGCAAACACCTCGTTAGCAGGCTTTCACGATCTTCTTTCATATTCTCAACACTCTTATCAGGGTTGTCATTGTTATACTCCGTTCATAATAACAGATTCAAAAACCAAGACTCAAGGAAGTCAAGTAATGTGTTGAGAGCCATAGATGTATATTGAATGACAATCCTAAATTCTTTCTCAGGTCTTTGCTTCTGAGTTTATGGTTGTTTTAAAAATAATATATTGAGATAGAACTAAAAGAGATATATGCCAGAACATAGAGACTAATAGAATTAGATCCCTTTCTGAGATTTAATAAAAACTAAAATAATAGTAAAACAGTGTCTGGAGACAGTGTACATTAAACGCTTAGGTGTCATTTATGTGTCTTGTGTATAGTCCCCCTGTTTATTCTGGAAAACCAAAGATGGGGGTATGTCAACAATGATCTGCCCAAATAATTCAGATTTAGTGAACAGATGTTCGATGATGAATTGATTTGGCCACCATGGCACAGGAAAACAATTAGCCAAAGGAGATTTTTTTTTGAGCACATCCATCCTGAAAGGAGAAGTTTAGACTGATGAAAAAAATTACTGACAAAAGTTCTCTTTACATTAAAATTGTCATTCAGCATTAATTTTCAAAAATGTCCCACATAATACAGATGATGCACATAAAGGTCTGAATTATAAGAAGAATGTTCAAGCCCAATCAATGTGAGTAAGGAGATATAGCTTGGCAAGCATTGAAGGAAGCAAGGACAAAGAGATATGTTTCCATAAGTAAAGACAAGCTTCATATTACTAATGCACTTCCTAGATTTTTAGGAACCGTATTAATCAAATAAGAAAAGTTAGAAAAATTCCACTAGAATTAGGAAATGTTGTCCAATTTAACTAATATCCGTTACTTAGTATCACTGTGGTCCTCTTATTATAGCTGTCAAATGAAGTTCATAATTTTGGAGAAGTGGGGTGATTAATTTGTATAATACAGAGCCCAGCATGTTCTTAAAAAATTTTTTTAAAAGCCCTCAGTTTTCATGAAGTTTAAGAACACTTGAGGTTTATAGTAAACTTTGAGATAATCCAATACAATCTATAGTAAATATTTCTTTGTAACCTCTGCAGTGGCTAGTGTGTGCTTTTAGACTGTCACATTCTATTATCAAGAACTAGTCTCTTTGAATTGGTCATTTATTCTTTCAAAATGTTAATGGTCTTCACTTATGTGTAACCCCAAATCATGACATCATATTATTTACTGTAAATTTATAAGCTCTGATATGAAGTCATCTCGTTTCAAGCAATTAGAAAAAGTGACTTCTAGCCTGCTGCAGCTGTTGTCGTGTGCCCTCTAACTCCCATTTAATAAATGTCCTTTTCTAAGTGCATTACCTCATGGTTTGGCTACGATCCAGATGAATCCCGAGAGAATAAGAGAAATGTGCTTTCTGACTGATTTGTCCATATTTTATTTTACTTTTCATTAAGAAATTACTCTTTGAAGAAAATCAATGATCTTCTGTGATTGAGGGGAGAGGTTAGCATCTTGCAAGAGGAGCTTTCTAAAATCTCACAGCAGAATGTTTTTAAATAGCTGTTGCTGATAGCGTTTTTTGTTCTTGTTCTTTCTGCAGCCTGGGTACATGGAGACCCCAGGAGACTGGCTTATCCTACAGACAGCCAGGGGCATTTTTGTGGCCAGAAGGGTACCCCCAATGAGTGAGTATAGCAATCTTTATTTTGTTTAATTTTTCTGTGTGAGCTGGAACTTAGAAATCATATTTACACGAATCCTACTAGACTTTTTAAGAAAACTGAAATTCATAGAAGAGGCCTTCCATCAGAGATTTTATACTGTATGACTTTAGGACATGAGGTTGTCATTGTTATGCAGCATTTCAATGGAATACATGAAGGCTCACCTTAGTACACATGTAATTGTAACATATGGATTGGAACAGTGATTTGGGGTTGAAAATATGAATCAGTCGCCATGTTTTAAAAAGTTTTATGGAGTGGGCTCTTTGAAGGCTGATTTCTGAGTAGCTGCTAAAATCTCAGAGGGCATGGTTGTTCCAGTTATTTTGGCTACTGTGCCTATTCATGAATCATCACACCTTCCAAAGCGAGGGCACCAACAAGAAGTCATCTGTGCTTGCTAGGTTTTACCAGGAAAATTGTTTTCTCTGGACATAGCCCTAGTAGCTGAAAGAAACTATGAATTTTACATTAAACACCTT